GAACCGACACGTCATACACATGAGTTGTACGGACCTGCAGGCAGGTTTGGTATTCTGAATAAACCTTGCCGCATTTCGCATGGAATTCATCGGCTTTGTGTTGATAATGGGCCGTGCGTTGCGCGTCCGTAGCCGACGACAAGACGGGCTCCAAATAGCCTTCAAACCAGACGTTGAAGCAGTTGTCATATTCCTTCTTCAGAGGCGTGCACTCGGGTGCCAGACTGTCGGCCATAATAATGAGAGGCAAGAGGTCAAGGAGAAACGGTCACGAGATGAAATAGGGACGCGACGGCTCGGCATCCCAAAGATGATACGTATACAGATGACGGTGATAATATTACACGAATGCGTTCCACGCCTTTGGTACACCACACATACAACATCTGGAATACAATTATGCAAATTAGGACCCACTTCACAACCCATAGCATCACATCGAGTGAGTGCTATCGAGAGCCTCCCATCCAGAAATCAACTGGTGGTCGAGAGAAGAAGGTATCTGGAGATCCGTAGAAGTGACTGAGACAAGTCGAAGTGTCGGGTGGTATTGGCTGGAAGGAACTCCCTCCCCAAAAGACGCTTTCGCAAACGGATCGACGATCTCTGGCAAGAGAGGAAAGCTGATCGAATCTGGAGTGGATGGAGCACTGTCGTACAAAGGCGAAGCCAGACTTGGCTCGACGGCGAGATGGCCTCCGGTTTTGATAGGCGCTGGCAGACTGCGCTGGCGAGAATAAGAAAAGGACCGTGCCCTGTGCAGAAGACTCTTGAGTCCTCGGCGCAGGACCTTGCCCGAGTGTGTCTGTGCGCCATTGGAGCAAATCGAGGCTTTCGACCGACTAGCAGCGGGGAGTTTGTATGTGAAACCGATGCCCTGGCCAATCTGCTCCAATCCGGCCGGGAGATTGGGTACGGAATCAGAGTTGGAGGGCGGTGAGCTGAGAACAGGTGAACTGAGGGGGCGCTTCAACTTGCGGAGCTTGTTGGTCGATAGCACAGACGCTCGCTTCCCTGAAGCGGCCGATAAGGGCTTGCGGATTCGGCGATGAAGGGCAGGGGAAGGTAATGCTAGCCTCAGCGCATCGCGGAACTCCAGAGAGTGTGAGCCCTGCTGCGGGACACTCGTCGAGCTCACTCGAAGTTCTTCGGCGTCAAGCCGGGCCCAGAACTGCTCCATGCGTTCTCGAGGGCTGAGCTCACACATTGTGGGCGAGGAATGGCTGCTGGCTGGTGACGACCCGGCCGAAGACTGCTCTCGAACCAGCGAGTGATCCAAGGGAGTGCATTTGAATATCGTGGGCAGACTGTCAGGGCTCAGAATCTGCAGGCCGAGGCTTCCTACCGCAGAGGCAGACCGAGACTCCTGCATAGTACGTGGGCCGCGGACTCCACTGAGAGACGTTCTGCGGGCTTTGTTCCGATTGTAGATGTCGTCCATCGAGCAGGTGCTACGGAGGAAAGGTCGCAGCATTCGGCGGGGCTCTTCACACAGACTTTCTACACGCTTGAGACGAGGCTGGACAGGCACTGCCTTGATGGCGGTGTGGACCGTGAACGAATTGTCCAACGAAGTATCGAAGTAATTGGAAAATCTGGAGTCCGGAGGGAGAGGAAAGTCCTGGCTTGTAGGTCGGACTTTGGGCGAGAGTGTTAAATCTCGGCCAGGCGATGCTGAAGGTACATAAGAGAGCTGCGAAAAATTGTACGATCACTCACGGATCCTTTTGGCACGAACATCTTCCCAATCCCTGTGTCGATGGCAGTGAGCACCGATTACTCCGACAAACATGGAGCGTACGTGTTAAAAAAATATGAGTGATCCCGTATTTTCGTGATCGACAATCGAAAGATAGGATTCCGTTCTAGGCACTTCGGAGAAGGCGATCAGCCGTTTGTATGCAATACCCCTATTCGACGAACCTTAATGATCAGATCCGTGGCTTCAAACGGAAGGGCCTCCTGAATCTTCGGATGTCCGTCAAGAACTTGACTCCTGATCGGAAGTGCTAAGTTGTGGTCAACGACCGGATTCTGAAATGTTCTTAGCTTTCACAAAAGCGCAAAATGGAGGACCACGAACGCGGCCCGTCAACATGAAATGCAAAAGCAATCCAAAAGACCAACAATCCACAGCGAGATTGTGCGTCCACGTTATCTCAGGGGCCTGGAACTCGACAGCCGAGCTCAGCGGCGGACAATCGTGGCAAGGCGGACTACCGCTCAGAAAGACTGCATTTGAGAAGTCGGACAGAACAACGTGACCAGTACGATCAATGAGGACGTTGGCGGGCGTAATGTCTCGATGGGCTATGTTCGCTAGATGCAGTGATCCAATCCCTTCAACCTGAAAGACTCTTAGTGACATCACAGCGCAGACCGAAGTAGCTTCTTACGAGCTCGCACGCAAAGAACATTGCCTCGACCGTATTGAGGGGATTGTCCTGTACGATGGTGGCCACGGTCACTTCGGAATGAAAGTCCTATGGCTCAAGATAAGCTAATTGGAGAGTCGCATTCAGAATTACGCACAAGAACCAGATATGTACAGTCGCCCGGCACCGAAAAAGCCCACCGAAGGCGATCTAGGAATGGCGAGTCTATTTCTCGTATGGACTCCATTACCAGCTTCTCTGCGAGCATGCCAGATGCAAGTGACTTGATAACATAAAACTTGCTGCCTGATCGCCTTCTGCATTTCTTGGGGTATTCAGATGTGGCAATAATCTCAAAATCGGCCAAAGTCGCGCAGGGTGGAGTGTGTCGGGTGTGATCAGAACCCGAAGAAGCTATGAAAGAAGGTGTATCGAGCTCCTCAGCGATGGTAGGCAGTCTCGTCGGCCAGTGCTTCAAGTTGTGTGATAGAACCATGACTTCCTAGATCAGAAGGCGTGAGGAGGCTTTGTGTTGGTGCGGCAAGACACGCACTGCGATATCATCATCATCCCAGTCCGGGTCCAGGTCCATAACATCAGAGAATTGCTTGGATAATGTCAGTTATGAAGGGGAAGCGAACATGGCGAGTTGCACTTCAACAAGGTAACTGCATTCGTTTGCATTCGTTGTTCTGTCGTGATCACCGGTCAAGTCGTTACAAAAATCGTATATGTCGTCATCGTCATTTCCTTCAAATAAGCCTGAGCATGATTCCTGGATTGATCAGTGGATGATTGGGGAGAGACCGTCAGAGACACACAGAGAACGGAACAAGGTCTAGTGCATCCAATCCAATGCTCGGCGCGCGCGCGATCTCTTCGACATGAGGGCTTTGAGGAATATTTGCATTCTGCGGTTTGTTTAAATTCAGGAGGGACATCTTTCCCGCCGAGCTGAACGAACACCACAGGAAGAGCAAACTTTGGGCGGCATCTTCAAAATGATGAAAGTTTGTTACTGGTAAGTTTCTAGTCATCACGTCCAAGGTATTACTTTGGGCGAGATCACATACCAGAGAATTCAAGAGGTATCGCGAAGAAGACAGAACGAAATCGTGTTGAAATGCAAGAACAGAAGAAAGCGCGTCGTATATCACGCGTTATTTGGCGCTATGTACGCTTTGGAAGTCGTTCGTGACAGTGACAGGCATGCCTAGTCGAGACCTTATTAGTCCATAAGATTGCGATTATGGACCCGGTCGACCCGGGCAGAGGACGCTCCTTAGGTGAGCCGCAGAGCTGTATCCCAAGCCAAATTGAAGTCTACAAGGTATGGATCACCCACTTCTACAGTTGCGCATTGGAAGAATTCTAGTTGGGACTGGTACTGTACTCGGCCTGCTCCATTTCCGCCACAAAACGCGCCCATGTCGTTTCATCCATTCCATAGCTCTCTCGCTCAGAATCTGGAAATGAACGGTCCTTGACTGCCGCAGCATAATTTTGTACTCCCTGTTCCCTGGGCGATTTCAAGTCGGCGAATCTCCGAACGAACTTGGCCTTGTGTCCAAGCCAAGTCCCCATCGCATCGTCCCAAACCAGGACCTGATCATCTTTGAGAACGAACGGATACACATCATATGCTGAAGACGTACCTGCCCACTCGTGCCAGGCCCTGCGCCGATCCCAATTGTCGGAACACCAATGTTTTCTGTTATATAGCGCCCCAGTTCCTGCGGTATAGCCTCTAGCACCATCGAGAAAACGCCCGCCTTCTCCAAGACTTTGGCAGTGTTCACGAGAGCTTTTGCAGCCGAGAGATTTCTTCCCTGGACCTTATATCCCGAGAGAGCGACATGTCTCTGCGGCTGCAAGCCAATATGTCCCATGACGGGGATGCCGACAGATGTTAGCCGACGTATGAGCCCGGCAATCTCTTCACCACCCTCCAACTTGACTGCTTCGATCTGAGCCTCACGCACCATCCGCACGGCGTTGCCCACCGCATCGTCGATCGATGCATGGTACGACCCGAACGGCATGTCGGCGACCAGCAATGGATGTGTCGTTCCTCGCGCCACTGCGCTCGCGTGATGGATCATCTCGTCCAGTGTCAATTGGGTGGTTGATTTGTAGCCGAGACAGACTTGTGCAAGGGAATCCCCCACCAAAGTCATGTCGATCGAGGTATTTAACGAGCACGCGACCGCCGTAGGATAGTCGTAGGCGGTCAACATCGTTATAGGAACTTTCGTCTGCCTGAGCTGTTGCAGAGTTTGGATGGTGACCTTACTTCGGGGCGGGGCTGTTCGATGGCGATTAGTTCAAAAACACAAGTGGGCCATACCGGTCTCACCTTGTGCACTCTCCTGAGGGCGAACACTCATCCATCGTTGTTGGAGATGAATCCTCGGAAATGATAGCCTCGACTGGCGGTAAATTTTCATGGTTAATGCAGAGTGTAAGTATCAGCCCATTGCCCTGAAAAACTAAGCACAGAGCACCGGACAAAATTACCGGAGGCCCAGTGCAGATCATAATCACGGGATCCAAGATATACCGTAAGCAATCGGACCACTCGACGATCAGTCCACTTTGGGAACTATTCTTGGATTCTCGACTCGCATGGCCGAAGAACGGGCGATATTGACCCTAGGCAGCCCAGCATTTGCCGTCGAGGCACGGAATTTCGTGTCAGCCTCTTCCCTGTCTACTCACTGAGGGCCAGGACTATCAACGCCTCCTCGATGATTATTTGGTCGAAAGCATATCCTTGTCTGAAGTTGCCGACCATGCCAGTCTCACCATTGCGATCGCCAAGGCAGTAGCAGCACGAATCTCAGCGGGAAAACCTGGCTACGTTGCTTTTATCTGGTTCTTCGGGACCAGCCAGTTCTCGCCCTTCGACGAAGCTATGCTCAGACCTTTGACTGGGAGCGGATGCCGCTTCTTCAGGTTATATTTGACCACATCAGTGTGAATAATCGTCTCATGCTGACCGCTCCCAGCGGTGGCGGCGCTGGATACGACGATGTCGGAACTCAATGGATGGCATCCCAGAGCGCCTATTATTGCAATACTCCAACGGCCATATCGATCTCCACCGCAAACGGTGCCCTGATGCTCATGTTGGCAGTGATGAGATCCGCTTACCAGGGCGATGTGTACACCAGATCTGGCAAATGGCGTGGCGACATATCTGACCCCAAAGATATATACCCCATAGGACTGGACATCGAGGGTCTAACTCTGGGTATCATCGGTATGGGTACGATCGGGAAAGCGCTTTCGATTCGAGCACAAGCATGCGGGATGAACGTCATATACTACAATCGACGCAGGATGCCTCAGTCGGGTACGGATCTCCTCCAGCTCGCCGATCTCTGATGGTTGATTAGTCGTGGTTCTCAGAGGAGAATGGAGCTCGTTTCACCTCTCTGGACGAGCTGCTCACTACCTCAGATGTCATTTCTCTCAATTGTCCCCTTACAACGGAAACTCGACATATCCTGGGTGCCGCTGAATTTAACAAGATGAAGCACGGGATGGTTATCGTCAACACCTCAAGGGGCCCGGTTATCGATGAGGACGCGTTGGTCCAGGCGCTCAACTCAGGAAAAGGTCAGCATTGTTTTCCCGAGTACCGTTGGTGTCTCACTGGTGTAGTGTCGAGATTCGCAGCAGATGTCTTCGAGAATGAGCCCGCAATACATCCAGGTCTCCTTGAACCACACTTGGCTTACCGGGTCATGCTGCAACCACATTCGACTGGACGAACGACTGCGTCCTTCGTCAAGGGTGAACGGCAGATCATCAAGAGTCTGCGTGAATATATGTCTGGGCAGCGGCCCGAGTATACCGTTAATTTACAGTAGAGTAGATTTACATTATTTGCCTGTACAATTGCATCCAAAAATTGACTATCCAAAAGCATTCACTCAGACCACATACACATCTTCCTTCTCAAAACTATAATGATCCAACTTCTTGAAGTATTCAACGCGAGCTTTTCGTTCGGCGTCCTGCGGATGTGCGAGACCGTGAGATTCGACACAACTGATAAAAAAGCCTCCTCACTTGACGTGAGACCTTGTCCACTTGACCCTGATGTTCCTCTTCCTCTTCCTGCTCCTCATCAGCTTCTTCCTTCCTCCTCTTTCCCTTTCCCTTTACCGCTTTCTTCTTGGTACTGGTAGTCTTGGTGCTGGTGATCTTCCTCGCAGGCCGAGCAGCATCAGGTTTGACGGGTCGGTGCCTCGCGCTTCTGCGAAGAGGAGTATCTCCAGGAGACGGATTGGTCTTCTTCTTCGGGGGGGATTCTTCGTCAGACTCCGATGACTCGCCCGGCGAGCCATGTTTTCGCCGAAGTGAGGGACTTTGTTCATGTCCGGCGCGACCAACAAGTCCCGGGGTCCCCTTGACAGGCGAAGGGCTACTCGGTATGGTCGTCACGCCGGAACCCAGCGAGATTGCGGCAGACTCCATGCTGGGCTTGCCTGCCTTGGGTTTGTGGGGTGTGGCTGGCATCAATCGTCCGTCATCGCGCCCTTTGTCATCCGTGAGACGCGCGGGGTAGTGCTCAATAGCAGAAGCGTGGTGTGGCGCGGGGTGGGGTTGTGCGTCCCGTTCCGCCTTGAGCTTGCGCTCGATTGCGAAGAAGCCAAAAGGGTCGGATTGGTTGGCTGGTGCGCGATTCTCGGCATCCGAGTCTTCATCCACCTGGCCTTTGTCTGAGAGGGATTCGAAATCTGAACGACCGAACGAAACATCGTTCTCATCGTCGATGAATGGGTCCAGACCAGTTTCAAATTCGTCGAGTGGCGCGCCGATGGACGGCGAGGTAGGACGAGGTGGAGATGAGGGAGGCAGAGATGAAGGAAGCGCACGATTCGTAGATCTACTGTTGTCTACCACCCTGAGACGCTTTTTCTCGCCCATCGCACCCCCTGGAGCTTTGGCCCGCCGACGGGAGGATGGTGTTGGCGGAAGGGCGGCCGCGAATCGGGACGTGATATCTTGAAAAGGGGCCTTCTTCCGGTCCATTTGCGTTATTCTGTATTCAAGCAAGATTTGTGGATAGGCTGTCTTGTGGGTCCTGGTGGGGCTGGATGAAAGTCAGTTGTCGTCAGTTTGACGGTGTGACCAAGTATGACACACGTGATATACGTGACTCGCGTTGGAGAGAGCACGTGAGGGCGTCTGCAGATGCATGTGCTAACCAAGTGCTAAGTAACAGCCGTGTAGTAAAAGTAAGTAACGAATGACACTGCTTAGAGTCAGACTTGAGCTGCGTTCACAGTTGCCTCCATGAAATTCAAGAATAGTCTAATGCCTGACGCCTGAGCGCGGAGGATTTATGTCTAGTCGAGCACTTTTCATCACTTCCTGCGTGCGAACACATGGACGTGGGCTAAGCCAGGGATACTCTGGAGTCTCTGAGATTGTAATTAGCGCCCATTTTAGTGAGTTCGAGCATCGCACTCACAGGTGGATTGACAAACCAGGCCGTTTCCCATTCTGTCTCTATCCACCGCTTCTTGATGAAGTTCTCTGTGGGTTGTCCGGCTAGTCGCACCATTTCTTCCTCTTCTGCTGTTCCTTTCGCAGATATGATCATCTTATCCAGGGTGACACCCCAATCTGCCAATGAAGGTAAGCATGATGGGAGTGTGGAGGGAGATGGAGGGGGCTCGTCGTTGCCGGTGAACCCCCACAGCCCATCCTGCTCGATGCGGGCCCTGATTGATTCGGGAATGAGAGTCGGATGGAAGATGGGTATCCGTGTCCACACCAGGGTGTGTTCCACCTCTACAGGGACGGAATAAGGCCAGTCGTTCTGGATGATGCTAATGTATTCAGATGGGGTGGACTCAGAAAAGTAGACCGGGGCATCGGCTGGGAGCGGCGCGAGTTCTCCTACCACGATGGGCTGAGATGCTGGAACGGTGGACGCAGCCTCGTCGGTGATAGCAGAGCCAAGAAGTGAGAGTGTATCGGGTTTGCCCCATTGCAAACGGTGTTTCATGAGATAATCGACTATGAAGTGGATAGGTCGGTCTGAATAGACACCAAGACTCAAGAATGGATGTAGCCACACCGATTGAGCCATGTTTCTCCTTGACTCCGCCGATCCAAACGTTGTACCGCTTCTGTAGTCGCTTGTCGCGTTTCAGCAGTCCCAGATCGCCTGAGTTGACGAATGTCTTGAGCTCATTCCAAGTGAATTTAGCGGGGTAGTGCAGCAAAAGCTCTTCGCGAGTAGGGGGGCCAGTGCCTATAACAACATTGGGCGTCTGTAAATCGCCCATGATCGTGACGGAGTTGAGCAAAGAAGAGGATGTGCGACCCTTGCTGGTTCACTCAGGCAGAATGCAGGGAGGTCGGCTGCCCGGCCCGGAATATCCGCGATTGGGATGCAATGCATGCAAGCTCACACTCAAACGATACTAATAGAGTTCATTCATCGTAGCTTTGATATAATCCAGCGATCCTCCACCCCTTCCTTCCTCCTAACGTGCCCGAGCTGTTCCGTTCTCTTGAACCAGTCGTCCAGATCCACAGACGACGAAAGACCCAGAGATCTCTGCAGCCAGTCTCGCGTCTGCTCATCTTTCTGACATAACAGCTCCCTGTAGGCAGACCGCATAATCGTCCAAGACGTGTCTCTTGCCTTCCCTTGCAGCGAATCGATCAGATGGTAGATGGCTCGCTGTGCCAGTCGGTTTGGGTCCGAAGCGACATCGAGAGAGGGCACGGGAACATAGGAAGGGCGGAGAACCTGCTCCAGCTGCGCATAATTACGTGTCCTCAAGCAAGTCGCGAGAGACGTGATCCAAACGCGCTCGGAGCAGTCCGCCGTGAACAATGCGATGGGCAGCGCATGCAGGGATGAATTGTATTCGCGTTGCGACGGATAAAATGTGATCAGTTGTTGCAGCAGCCCAATGACGATCATTTGGGAGCGTTCGGGATCTGGGGAGATGGGCTCGTGTTGTATGAACGCCATGAATGAGGGAATGATTGCACTGATTTGGCGAGGAGAATCGAACAGTACGGAGAGTGCGAGAGAAGTCTCGTACACTGAACTAGAAATGAGATATAGATAAGATTTTCTGGCGCGGAGGACATGCCTTCCAGAGCGAATTTCCCTGCTCTCTTCGAGGACACGATCCCTTCCCGTAACTTCCCTGGGGGCAGTCGTTTAGTCCTAGACGATGTGTTTGGTAGATTAACTTACGCAGAAGGATCAGTATGGTTTCTTGGGAATCAACACGCTTTTGAAGCTCTTCCTTTTTCTCGTCGCAGCTTTTAGGATGTCGTGTCCACAAATCGTCAATCTGGTCGGCAGTCAGACAGGGGAAGATTGATTGGCCTGAATTCGCACATACCTTCGCCTGTATATACACGCGATATTCATCTTGAGTGGATGGATCTCTTAATCTTGGAACTGTGATCTGTTGCAGAGCGCTAGAAGAGTGCTGGATAGACGCACGCGTCTCCATCTTTGTCCAATCCACTACTGCGACTGACCGAGGCTATAAGATCCATCCTTCGTCTGGGATTGGAACTCGTCGCGGATGAGCGAGTCCTGAGTGCGCTCTGAACATCTTTCTTCGTCCTCGCGCCAGACATGATGGGGGTGCAGGAGCTTCCGTGACAGCTAGTAGCAGTGACCTGCTAGACCGAATTTCACGTGCCCGCGTCCGGCGCGCCTAGCCGACCATACTCCGGTCTTCGTCTTCCCCACATCCCACCTGCTCTCAAATACTCAAGAATGTCTGTCGCTCATGGTATACGATCGTTAGGGGTGCTCGGTGCTGGTCAAATGGGCCTAGGCATTGCTTTTGTTGCCGCTCTTCGCGGCAAGGTCCCCGTTCTAGTCCATGACCGCTCTCCGGAACAGGTGACCAAGGGTCTAGCACTTATGGACAAACTGCTGGCCAAGGACGTGTCGAAGGGCCGCATCACCTCTGAGGCTGCAAAAGAAGCTCGAGACCGCGTCTCTGTTATTGGCGCCGAAACAGGGCTGAAGGGTTTGCGTGACGTCGACATGGTTGTTGAGGTACTGTGACGGCCACTGTTGTCTCGTCTACATTCGTACTAATTCGATATTATTTCAGGCTGTATCGGAGTCACTTCCTCTCAAGGAGGCCATCTTTGCCTCCTTCGCTGCGGAACTTAGGCCCGATGCGATCCTCGCCTCGAACACGAGCTCTATCAGCATCACTAAAATTGCTGCGGCTGCCATTCCCAAAGGTGTCAGCGCAGCGAGCGAGGAGGGAAAGGCCAGTGCTGGCAGAGTGGTCGGCTTGCATTTCTTCAACCCCGTCCCCGTAATGGTGCTTCGACTTCTGTACATTCGCGATTCAGCGCTAATGAGGCTCACCTTCTTTTCAGAAACTTGTTGAACTGATATCGGGTCTTCAGACCCATCCAGAGACTCTCGATCGGGCTCGGAGTTTCGCGATAGCCTGCGGAAAAGGTGAACATGAGTTTACGCGGTCACGTTTCGATTACTGACTACCGTTTCAAGAGGTCACCACGTCCAAAGACGTCCCTGGCTTCGTCTCCAATGCTCTCTTGATGCCTTTCATCAATGAAGTATGTGTTTTATGGCTTATACGCGCCCACTTCTTTTGATGCATGTGTCTTCCAGGCAATTATGTGCCTCGAAAAGGTCTGTTGTCTCCATTTCAAAAGGTTTCTCCTCACTCCAGTTTGCAGGGCACTGCAACCCGTGACGATATCGACACCACGCTGAAGCTCGGAATGAATCATCCCATGGGTCCATTACAATTAGGTCAGTCTGATATGAACCTATGTCACTAAGAGCTAATCTTTCTGCATAGCTGATTTGTGCGCTCAAAAATCTTATCTTGTGCCGGCACTAACTTGAGCTAGCATCGGCCTCGACACCTGTCTTGCCATTCAACAGACGTTGTACGAAGGCACCCGCGACTCCAAATACCGACCGAGCATTCTACTAGAGCGGATGGTCGATGCCCAATGGTATGGCAAGAAGAACGGGAAGGGGTTCTACGAGTACAAAGATTAGAGCAGAGATATACATTATTACGTAGCGGCGGGCTCTAGTTGTCGGGCATCCCACTATGCTTTGGGCTCCGGAGGGCGTTCTGAATCGTCTTGGATATCAAATCTCTGCGTTGGCGGTGGGACGAGATCGACGTGAGGCAGTTGCAACGGGGTTCCCTCAAACTCAGCCCATCCTCCCCGAAGGCCGAAATCGACTATGCGCTCCGTGATGCGCGTTAGTTCGTCATGCCTAACAGCCGAGAGTCTGAGCAAACATAGAGACAACAGCTCGCCTCGTACCGTTGTTCCAGCCCGCGCATTCGCTCATCCATTCCTTCCGTCAATTCGGTCACGCGCGTTGTGAGTTCTTGAACCTTGGAACCCAAATCCTCGAGCTGCTCATCGACCACGTCTCGTCTCTTCGATTGACTGCGACTCGATCTCCACGTTTCTCCCAATATCAGTCCCGCCGCGACTGAGAAAAGGAATCCTTCCGCCAATGCGTTGGCGCCGTTTTCGATTGCACTGAGAAAGAATGAGCAGGGACAAGACTCAAGATGGGAGGAATCCCGGACCGGGTCTCTGAGAGAGGGCGAATGTGTTTCGCGGGCTCACCGAGGATGTTCGTGCGCAAACGGACCTCCGTTCGATACATCATCTGAGCGAGGTTGATGCAAACACCCCGAAAGCGCTCGTGTCTGCAACAGTTGGATACTTGGTTATTAGAATTGGAAGGAATCCATACTGCTGTGCTTGTTGCTTCAGTCTCAAGCTAATGGGCTTGGCGATTGTCTCTCAAAAGACGCGAATCAGAAAGAGTCGAGAGGCCCGCACGAGCAAAGAACTCACCCGAATTAGAAGCGTGGCAATTTTTGCGGACGCCATATTATAGTTAGTCCCGAGCGTCTAGGTCGCGTAAGTTGAGAGGAGATGAGTGTTGTGAAGTGAGTACAGGTCCGGAGAGCACCCAGGGTTCATCGCCGCTGCGGCGCGTCCTCCCGGCAGATATTCCGGAATTGATTGGCAGGTGTGATGGACTGATGCGGCACGGGTGCAAACAGATCGCAACTTTCTGCCCTTGGGATTCCTTTTTGGGAAGGACCCAAATGAGGCAATGACCGGCCGATGGCAGGTGATGGGCACCGAAATTCCTCGAAAATCATTATTTATTGAATAAGGAGGGTACAAATGCACAGGGAATAATGTCTAAGTGTTAGGAACAAGCTTAGAATTGAAGTGAGCAGTTTTTTTTGTTCAGAGTTCAGTCAGAGGGGACAAGGAAGTGGCATTTACATCTAAATACATACAGCACTGTAGCTAGTAGGGACAAAGAAGCTTGTACAGTTACTTATGTACATGCACAGCAGAGGGCCTGAGGTGCTGTGTGGCACAGGAGGAGAAGAGAGAGGGGACGACGTGCAAAGGGGAGGGGATGAGGGAGTAGCGGAAGAAAGAGAGAGGGAGGGCGTCGGAAGTGATGCCGTGACCACACGCTCACGGCGTCACTCCTGATGACCTCCCTCCGTCGAGTACCGGCGGCGGGGCGGCAGCCCAATGGCGTGGAAGGCCTTGCATGCGCGCACATCGCGTGGCACAACCAGCTGCGGGCGGGGGCGGGTTATCGTTGGGTCATCGCGTCAAACGGGAGGAGGGGGATGGGCAAGGGAGAAAGATGGGAGGTCACGAGGTCGTCAACAAAGTTATTTACTGGACAAATACACCAATAAGTAAAATAAATTAGGATCCGGAGCCTCCGTGTGCACGTGCCGGACGCTTCCCAAAAAGGTAGCTTAGTCAGAAAAGTCAAGGGCAGAATGTTAAAATCTGGTGCAAATTGCAATAACGCGCGCCTCACTGAAAGACCAAGCGCAATCATAACATACATTGCTGATATACTGACGCGGCACAGAGTCGCCCTGTGGCCTGAACTACTCCGCAGCCCTAATGGAGATCACGCACTCCATGACTCGGCTCCCTTCGTGAGTGCTGTCATGCCCTTCACAAAGCTTCACGCCTCTAGGTCGGCCCGTGCATCTCGATTCCATCCTTGCTGTTGGCTTATGGGCGTGTCTTGGAAGGTGGGTCATTGTCCGTATCACTACCCCAGTACCGTGAGTGACGCCTGGAGCTCAGTAAGCAATGCTCCATCTGGTTGGGGCGTGTCTTCCAGCGGTCCAATGAGCACAGAGGCTTACATCTATCTCGGCTTCTTCTTCGTTCTTTACCCGTTGGCCGTGTCTAGAAGGTCTGATGTGGAGGCCGGCGACATAATTACATCTCGAGAATATAGTCCACTTCATGGAATAATACAAGCAACCTGCAAAGACAGCACACGAGTCAGTCCATGGAAGATTGAAATGGCTTCTTCGCTTGATTGATGTCGGTGGCGCCATCAAAAACCTCGGTTGCTGGCACACGCGAACAACACGTGCCTGAGAGTATAAAAGCCCCAGTGCGGTTGAGCGGAACATCTTCGCGCTACCCCCATCTTCCTCTTCTTATTATGTCTCGTCGCACCAGTGATGGCCTTCGCGGCCTGCAACGTTTCGAGGAGTTCTACTTGCCTGGCGGCGACCTTTACTGTCTTGTACGGGAATTGGCCTGGACGATCGCACTCGATACTTATGGAGGACGGTCTAAAACAGGTCCAGAACAGGATGTTCCGAGTGCACCGATACTTCTTCGAGCGGGAATCCAAGTACTTTGAGAAGGAACTGGCGACCCCCGTTGCTCCTGGCGCGCAACGGCTTGGTTCGACCGACGACAGCGCCATCGTGCTCAACGATGTGCGCAGCGACCAGTTCGCAAAGTTGCTCTGGGTGTTCTATAATCCGTAGGTTGCCCGTGTTTGCTGGTGGCTGCTGCTCGGCTGACAACAACCGCAGCAAATATTCATTGTACGAAGCAAGCGTCGACGATTGGGCCGGCATCCTCGAACTTGCTTTCCGATGGCAGTTCGGTGAGGTCAAGAAGCTCGCCATTCGAGAACTCGAGAAGCTGGAGATGGCCGACATTGACCGAATTGTGCTCTACCGCAAATTCCAGGTCGACGAGTCGTTGTTGATCATGAACTACGTGGCCTTGGCCCAGCGGACCGAGTTGATCACGCTGGAGGAAGGCCAGCGCCTAGGAATGGAGGTCGTGATCGCTCTGTCACGTGCTCGTGAATGTCTGCGCAACACAGCTTGCAGCGGATCGCAGAGTCCTTCCCCGTCAACTGTGACCGAGAATGATGTCCGGGAAGCCGTACTCCATCATTTTTCCGTCTCACCCTCGGAGCCCACAGGTGGATCGTTGTTGTCGTTTTCCTTCTTTGGCAATGCGCTCATCCACGGGTCGCAGAGTCCACCAAGACGCCCGCGAACACCTCAACCCCGAACAACTCAGCCACACCCATCCCCCAGCGTCCAGCCACCCCCGCCAAGATTAACGGCGCAGCTGGTGGAGCCACGAATGGGCTCACCAATGGCACCGCTCACGCCAGCGGTACCGCCAACGGCACCGCCAGTAGCACCGCTATCGGTACCACCAACGGTACTACCAACGGCACCAACGGTACCACCAACGGCAGTGCCAACGGCAGTTCCAACGGCAGTGCCAATGGTAGTACCACCGGACCCGCCAATGCCGCCAACGGCACCACCAATGGACCTACTAGCCTCGTCAACGGTACCACCAACGCCACCATCAATCCCAATAGCGCCGCGACTGGTCCCGCCACCGACACCGCCTCCAGTACAGCCACCAAGCCCGACCCCCCTCCGAAGCTCGACACCAAGCTCGACGGAAAAGCGACCGGGCAGGCCAAGCCTGAAGGTGCCGAAAAACCAGATAGTACAGCAGCCAAGCCCGACGACAATGGTCCCGGAGCCGGGAACAAGACACCTGGAGGAGCTGGAGGCAAGTCGAACACCAACGGACCCGGTGGTAAACGAAACAAAGGCTGGGGCGGCGCCGTCTGAAGCCCGTGCAAATGACCTTCACGACAAGAGAGATGATAAAGCGACGATTCCAGGACCCGACGCAGGCGTTCGTACGAGTATTTATGATGGAGCCACGGAAGAAACGAAGAAACGTCTGCCCAAGCCGGCTCAGTTGAAAGTCAAGGTTTCTCCCAGTCCTTCCCCCGCTTCGAAGCAGCCCAGTGCTGCCAGTAATGGGGTGTTGGATTGGTTCTTGGGCTCGGCGTAAAACCGTTTGGGGGATCGTATATAAGATATGTATTGCAGAGATGACAGGAATTCATCGGTGAACTGTTTGTTCAAATTCTTTCGCGACCTCGAGGGCAACTTGAGGAACATGAATGCCAAAACTAAGACATCCAGTACGCACCTTGTCGAGGTACTCGTCCGACAAGCTGTCCTCGTTCTTCCTCCTCGAAGTCTGGCCCCATATGACCTCCTTCCACTCTATTGGCTCTTGCTGAATCCCATCTAGATCCATAGAGTATGTCCTGGATGCCGCCAGCCGTTTCACCCGTGCCAGTTCATCGTCGGTGATTGGGGCATTACTTTTGAGTCTCTGGACAGTGGATTCGAGAACCGAGATCCGGGCCTCCGACGCGCTCTTTTCGGCCTTGGTCTGCTTGAGCTTGAAGTAGTAGAAAAAAGAGGCTTGGGCCAGTATTAGAGCATGAAAAACAGGCCTCCGCTGCCCCGAGAACGGCATGGAACTGGCAGTGGAAAGATGAAGTGCGCGTTTGATCCAATCGGTGATGGCGGTGATGGACTCGAAGACGCCGACTTCTCTCAGCAACTAAGTATCATGTAAAGACAACTTTTTGAAGTCTGCGCGCCCGAATCTTTCCATATCATTCCCAAAATTTCGGCCCTTTGTCTCTCTACCTCCAATCAACGATTAGCTCACACAAAGAAAAGATCTGCTTTGAATGTCTGCTACACAAAGAGAGGGCGGTATTTGAGCTTGAGGCGAGACTGAACGCACTCCGATTGCTCTCTCTTTCTGGACCCGTATCAAGCTCTGAACTCTCCTCTCCCTCATTCTTCGGCAGAGAAATGGCTCCTCAGCGTAGTACTGTCTGACAAACGACTAGCTCGAATGGCTGAACCTTCAATCCTCAGGTACCAAGAAGCATGGCCGAGCAAAAAGGGCGAGACTTACAATTCCTACTATCAAGACTCGTGCGTTTCCCTGCTTCTGGTCTGACCAAGATCCGAGTTTGAGCCTCGTGCTCTCGCAGAAACGTTCACGGCTCTACATTGCCTCTCATTAGAGACCAAGGATGACTCAGACCAGCAACTGGACTTTGCTATGCTTTTCGATAAAGGTGGGTGAAACTAGGCATTGGTGTTATCTTTGAGCTCACTCTTTCAGTGCAATATCTCGCACGTATCAGAGGGATGAGTTCTCTCCTACAGAAACGGGCCAAACCTGTCGCAGAACAGTGGTTGGGCTCGCTACCAGAGTTGATTCGCGTCGACTATCAGTCAGAAACATTTGAGATTACGGCTGCAGGTCTTGAAAGGTAAGTGCTAGCACAATGCGCAGGACTGGGCTGATTTTGTTAGATTCCGAGATATCCTGGGTCTCGTGCACCCTTTCGCGCAAGACGAGAAAATTTCTGTCCTTCAATTGGACGAGGCGGTGAATGACCATTACCTCGGTGCAAAACAACGTAGAAAGCCTGAGGTGCGTGTCAGTACGCCCTCCGTTGGCGTTTGCATTGTGACTTCTGATGCAATGGAATACAGCTGCTGAAGTTGGTGGATGTACAAACGAAACAAATGACTACGAAATCGGTCGAGATAGCGAATTCCAAGCTTGAGAATGCAAGATTGAGACTGGAGCTTTCGAACGCACGAGAAAGAGGTGACTGCTGAGTATGCTGCTGAATGTACCCAATCGCTCACAGGCCCGGTGTTAGTTCCTCTTCCCGTCACACCCCAGCGCATCACCCGCTCTCATTCGATGAGTGCCGTGCCGTACTTTACGCCTGAGTCCCTTCCTCGTCTGTCGTCTCTGGCCCGCCCCGTGCCGTTGCCGTCGTCGCTATCTACGCAGGCCTTTACTATGGATATCGACGACTCGGACGATGAGGATCTGATCCGCGGGATGCTCACACGGCCCAGCACGGCGCTGCCCCAGCCGAGCTTTCGTCATGAGAACTCCTCTGCAGTGCGTTCCGAAGAATTTCTAAGTCTGTTCTCTGACAAATGTCTCTCTGACATCAAGGAGCCTCTGCTGACCTTTTCCCGACAAAGTGTTTCAGATCATTTGGCCAACAAGGATATGGAAATCGGTGCTTTGAGAGAACACATCGAACGACGGGATCATGAGGTGCATCCATTCACCTTTCTGGCCAGCGTTTCGCAGCTCATCGAAACCTCTCAGTTGGAGGCAACCTCTGCTGAGAATGAAGTCTTGCGTCTCAGACTCCAGGACCTCGAGGACACTGCCCTCTGCGACCACGAGGATTTCCAAGAGAGTCGTCATAATTTGACCAGTCTCTGGGAGCATTCGCAAGATGAAACAGAGCTAGTTCGCTGTGAATTGGGGAAGTTGGAGGCCGAATCGGCGACAGCGAGAGGATTCTTCGAACGCTGGGGTCCCTCCTTGATACAAATGGGCAATTTCGTGTCATCAACAGTCACTCTGCGCGCTCTGGCCTGAGCGATGGATTACATAGGTTCACTCGGTCTTTGTATTGTTAAGCTACTGTAGCTTCAATCATGTCCTGTAACAAACTGCTTGCGCTCCGTCGCGCGCCAAGGCGATCAAACAAGCATGGGTAAACATTCAGACACAGCTTTTGATTGCAGTGCGCTCAGTCCCTTACGCCGTGGCTCAATAACTTGTTATATCTATCTGTGAGTGTTCCTTTTCGATTACTTCCGACAGGATGTTGTAGTAAAAGGGTCGACCTGTCCAATCCACCGCTGGTGCTCCGTCGTCCCTCCGCTTGGTTTCCGAACCGTGAAGGTTGAAGTTCTCTGCGCGTCGCTCGAGCTTCATGTGCCGCGCCGTAAGGCTGAACCCACAGCACTCAGACTCTTTTCATCATAGGCAGCTCTTCTACGAGATCCACGGTCCAGCTGCAAAGGCAGAGTCTCAAAACACACTTGATGTGTATACGTTTTATGCCAAGCCCGCGCAGACAAGCATACACCTGCGCAGGGCGGTCTCTAGATGTGGTTGTCTTCGGACGTCATATGAAAAGCCTGTCTTAAGCTTCCGAGCTGCAGGTCCATGCTCGAGGAGTGTGGTTACTGGCTCACACGGCTGGGGCGGATTCCGGGCGAGATACGGGCGACTGGGTGCTGGACGGGACAATGGATTGGCTTCGGGAGATGAGATCTCATGCAAGCCTGCTTTTGCAGCACTGATCGTTTCTTCTTTTGCTTCTCATTCGCTGTAACATGGGTACTGATTGATGCATCCTAGATTCTTGAATTCCGTGCAGGACCATTTGTTCCGTTGCTATACACGATCCCTTCGTAGTCCACTTGGACTTGTGACACCGATGTTCTCCGCCTGTCGGTCTCTTCCATCTCGCCGTGCTTGCCTTGATTTTCTGCAGACGGCCTTGACCGGCTTTTCTGTCGCATTTCTGCTTTGCCGTCGCAGCCCGGACGAGTGTTCCGAGATAGACAGGACGCAGTGTTATGGCATGAAAGATACGGAAGACATCTGGGGGATCGCGGATCTGTTGAGCCGAGCGTTGTTAAGAACGCTCCCCGAACCGTCGCCCTTCGAAGTCTCGTGATCTCATCCTCTTTCTGCTTGTCTGAATGTTCAGGTTACGATACTTACATCCAGCATCCGATCGCGAAACTCTGATAGACATTCAGAAACTCCCACAGATTCGGATGCAGTATCTGGTGTGTACATAGTTTTGAGTCAACTCGCGTTGCTTTGCGCAGGCCGTTCTTTCGGCGTGTTATCCGGGGATGTAATTTGTGCATGCACAGGGAGTTCTTGTAGTGCGGACGACGGCCACACAAACACTGGGAATCAGCGATGAGCGGCGCCAAATCCCGCGGAGCATGCCGGGCCGATGTGTGCGCTCAGCACTGAGCCTGGATACTAAAGCTCCCAGGTAGTTGCGAGCTTCTCCCGGCCGGATGGAAAGTGTGGCTCGCGGGCTGGTGTAATTATCCAAATAATTGCCTTCGTGGACGCAGAGTATCCCCGGTGCCTGTGGAAACCAAGTAATGTGGCTCGTCTTGATGTGTACAAATCACAATCGTGTTCGCTGTTTGAGGAAGAAAGTCGCGACGTCCCCACAGCAACCAACACATCCGCCCCTATGATCAGATCATCCCGAGCCAACCACTCACTACTACTCAGTCGTCCAGGCCCGGTCGCGTAACATGTCTGCATTTCATTTTCTTAGTCTCTCCCTTCTGGCCGTGTAATTATATTCGTCGTCCTTTTCTTAGCGGTGGTGCTGGCCGTCCCGCAAGAAACCGACTTGAACTTCGCCCATCCAAGCCTCCCTTTCGTTTGGCTTATGGCTTTCGTTCGTCTTGGCGTAGCATCATTCTTTTGGCTGCTCTTGTGTGTTTCCTCGACGCTCGCCCTCGCGTCTCCAGCACTCCCCCAATCCGCATATACCCCCCGATCGTTCACCGTCAGCAACACGACCGGGACGCCCCAAGTATTCGATGGCAACGGAAACACGGTGTCTCAAGGGGATGCGACGGACGGCAGTGGATCGAACTTCGACCTCCCTGCGCTGATTTGGCTCGGTTTCTCTGTCGTGATCGGGCTGCCGATGGCTCTGGCGGGGATCAGGGGATGGAGGCTGACGACTGGGACGGGGCTGGGACTGGCTTCGGCTGTGTGTGTGTGGGCGGGAATCATCAACACCGTTAACGGCTCGGGGTTCGGCGACATGTCGGTTGCTAGGTCGATGATTGTTTCTGTCCGTCGCTGACAAGCCTTCTCAGACTGCTGACGGCCGTCATCCTGATTATCTTCGCGGTGGGATTCGCACTCGGTCTGTTGGAGGTGGCCCGACTCGGGGCGATCACTGCAATCGCTCTTGCGGGTGGTCTTTCGTTCGGGATGCGAATCATCCTCATTCGACAGGGCTTGCTGTTCTCCTCCAATCTCTTTGTCCTGAACTGGGTCGTCGTGGGACTCTGTGGAATCTTCTCGGGTCTCTCGCTATTATTGAACCAGCGCTATGGATTGGTGAGCTACATCCGGTCCATCGAGCTCACATTCTAACGTGCGATACAAGCTCTTTGGATGCACGTCGATCGGCACATTCTTCACTGGACTCGCCGTTGACTTGGTCCTGGAGAGACAGTCGGGAATGAGTCTAGGACTGCGTTTGCTTTTCGATAGCAACGACTCGCACGCGGTGGTCAGTTAATGCGCCTCTGCTCTGATGTTTGTCTCTGAACAAAGCCTATTAGTTTTTCCTGACAACCCCGTATCTTGCGCCATTACGAACCAAAATTGTTATAATTGCTTCGTTAGGGCTCATGTAAGCTCAATTGCCCGGCGCCGACACTTGCACTCATGCCTCTCGACAGCCCATTCCTGGCCTTGGCACAACATCGATTATTCCCTCGGCCGTTCACCCGCCGGCCTGATATCTCAGACGAGGCGCTGCAGATTAATTATCCGACAGAGTTTGAAGCTAAGCGGACTACATACTTGGTCTCTCTCTGGGATGGAGCCAGGGAGAGGCAAGGAAGTGCCCATCGCTTCAGTGTATAAGATATCCATCGGGCGATTCTTCGCTCACGACGCCTCATGTACATACAGCCATTCTCTGGGACAGTAGACTAGTCTGTTGGATTACAGCAGTCTCAATGATACAGTCAGAGAAGGCAGTGCAATCGCTCTAAAGTAAGCTGATGCTGCGCGCTCGGGTGTAGTTTGGACGGTCTGGTATGGAAGGCGGGGGTGACATCCGCCCTTGTCTGTCGCTCGGTGATCCCCCGTTCCCAGCATTTCGCTTGACGGGACTCCCGCTTCCGAATCGTCCACCTAATGGCCATTCGAAAAGCCTTCTTGGTGTCTGCGGAAGTGCGGCTGCGGTCGTTGTGGCTAGTCGACGACCGCTAGCGATGGCGTTCTGCCAGACACTCTTCAGCGGACCGACTTCCTGCTTGACAGCGGATTCGATGAGCATGTTCTCCATCTCATTCGTCAGGGACATGATCACGTCCGCTGACGGATTTGTCACAGGTCGCAGTTGGTTGAGAGTAATTTGCTCGGCAGATGGTTGGATGACATGCAATTCCGAATGTAGCAGTTGCGAAGCTGTAAATAATAATCAGAATGGTTTCCTATAAATCTACGGCCAACCGACCTTCGCAGTCAACGTTTGTTACTAGGTGCAGCAATCTGTGCGTCATCGCTTCCGTGACCTTGTTGGGGTCAGGCAGGAACTGAGGAGCAACGCGGCTGAGAGCTATGCTCATGAATAGAAACAGTTGATGCAGAAAGAGAATATGCTGATAGGCCACTCGACGGGGAAAGAGGAGATGCAGCAATGTCCGGTTGGAGGGTCCCTCAGTGGGATCGCCGAGAAGTAGCCCAGATGGTACCAACGACGGGGATGGCGACACGATCAAAGACAGCTCCGAAACGAAAAGTGAAAAGCACAGCAGGTACCGCCACTGGCTTTCCAGTCAATGAAAGTTGGCAATTTCGAGGGAAGAGACGCACGAAAGCGACGGGGCTGGTTTCCCCGATAGCCGTCCAGAATACAAGCACTGCCCCCGCAACGACATGGTATCCAAGAGACTGGGTCAGCCCTTGCCTCAGGTATTCACCAGTGGTCGAGCAGTGCGTCCATCCAAGGACTGCGGGACCGAATCTGGCAGCGATTGATATGGGGAGGACTCGATGACAACGGGATCGCACCTATCGTATGCGAAGCGCACTGTGGGATTCTTCAATGCCTCGAAGGCATCCCGGACTTGGATGAACAAAGCCTCTCCCTGCGGACCCACGCGATCCGGATGGTAGCGTTTCGCGAATTGTCGGAAGGCGAGTTTCAGCGAGCCCTCATCGGCATTCGGATAGACACCGAGCATTTCGTAGTAGTTGGGCAGCATGGCGTTGGATCCCTGGATCAATGTATAGATGAGGTAGCCTAGAACTACGACTGCGAAAGTGTATCGGTAGTCGCGCTGGTACTCAAGAGTGCCGGCTCGAGGTGGTGTTATCTGGAAAAAGCGGAGCAGTACGTAGTGGAGGATCTTCACTGCCTGTTGTGTCGCGTGGTGAGGCACAAACGCCCATCCTAATACACCAAGGAATGGAATCGCCATTATTGATGGAGAGCACGCAGCGAAGACGGTGTGCGCAGGGAAGAACGAGAACGAGTGGCAACCAACCGGAGATACGACTCGACGTGGTAGAGAAAAGCCCTAAGATGGACGTAGCCGCAAACGTTACGCCGAGGTGGAGGTCGAAGCGAAGACAGAACGCGATTCACGTGCCACGCGCTTGATCACGCTCTGTCTTCCTCAGATTCGACCAGCATGACCTCGACTCCTGGTTCGACTCCTGGGCCTTCCGGATACTTCAGTTCCGTCCAAATTCCTACCTCTACGCCATACAGTCCCACTCCAGCTGCGACGCCCACCAGAGGACGCTTCAGAGGTGCCGCCCCTGCTAACACGACCGTCAGGCCGGGAACCAGTCCCGCGCCAGGGACACCGAGACCTCTACCTGGAGCCACGGAAGCGGGGACTCCTAAAACTCCTGCTGCCACAGGATCTCTACTGCAGGGTGGCATCTCGGCGCGGCCTGCCACAGCTTCAACTTACTCTTCCTACTTCCCTACCGCAACGTCCAGCACACTTGCATCGAGCTCGTTTCCTGCAGCGTATGCATCCTCATTCACCCCCTCATCTCCCTCGGTCTTCACGGCGCCGACTTCGACCTATGCGTCAAATGCGCTGTTGAGTCTTGGTGCATCCAGTGCAGGAACATCCCGGGCTGCGGTGGCCAGTGCCTTGGACGAAGACGGAGATGGAGACGATGAACTGCTCCCAGGAATGGCCGACGAAGATTATTCTGCCCAGCAGTCCTTCCAGAGTCAATCAAAGGATAATCTCAAGTGCGCCTCACTCCGTCTCAGCTCTCCGCGGACTACTTATACAAGTTGATCCCAGAGTATTGATGGACAACTTTTCCGACCTGCAGTACGACCGGTATGAGGCGTATAGACGACACGCTCTCCCGAAACAGGCGGTACGGAAGGTCTGTACGCCCGATTCCGTTCTGCAGCTTGATCTCATTTGGCGGGGGCAGGTCATTCAGCAAACTTTGGGAATGCAGGTATCTCCACCAGTCGCCCAAATAGTCGCGGGTTTTGCCAAAGTCTTCGTCGGTGAAATGGTCGAGAAAGGTAATGTCGTTGTCGATTGCCGGCTCTCTCTCGGTGCGCTGACGCGTTCTGAACAGCCCGAGCTGTGCAGCGGCGACGAGGGGAAACTGGACCACTCTCTCCGGATCATCTTCGTGAAGCTTACCGAATGTATCAGCAGGAAACTGGCAGTGTTGGATGCGCCCGTCCTCTTAGAGGGAAAAAGCTATTTGTTCGATGATCATAAACTTGCTTTTACATTGCTGTGAATATCTCTGTACCATCCATACAGTACCAGGCACGCTAAAGACAGGCACTGCAGTAGCTTGTCTCTGACATGATCATCAACCGTCTATGCACTCTACCATCAATGCAATGGCAAGCGATCAAGCCTTGTGTCTGCGAAGCTTGAGTGCAAGCGCCCATGACCGGAACCTCCCTGCACGCGCTTCCGTCCGATGTCGTTTTGCAGATCCTTGTGTATCTAGACGTTCTCAGCTTAGTCGCGTTATCATGCGTGCGTTGCTTCCTGGTGCTTCCAAGCACACCCATAATTAATTCATGTCGCAACCAGGTCGACACACGTCTCAAAGCGCTCTCGCAAGAGCATAGTTTCTGGTTCCGACCACTCGCGGAGGCGCATCGCGTCCGGCCTCTCGCGTGTCCAGCCGCAGATGATCTGTCCTTACGCACCGCTGCCGAGCTCAGGAGACTCGCGCTGCACTCGCTCAGACTCGAGCGCAACTGGTCGACTTCATTCCCGTCCGTCGCGAAGCCAGTCAAGACGCTGGCCTTGACGAACCACGACGAGATGATGCTGAATATACCCGGGACGAACCTGATCGTGCTGGAAGACTGGGAAGAGGCAACGCTCGTTTGCATGGACGTGGAGACGGGCGAGCAGAGCGACGCCGTGCGGATTGGTGCCATCTATGACATGTCGTCACCCGTGGAGGATAAGGCTAGTTGCGCTATGTCCGCGCTGTCGGTGATGTCTGGGAACCAGTTGCGTGCATCATCCTTCCCCTGCTACAAGCCTGCGGTCGCTCATGGATCTGTGTATGCAGAATGCTCTCTGTACTGCGGGTTGCCATGCCCGGCCAGTCCAAGCCGGTGATTGAAGACAGCCTCAGGTTAATCCTGGACCCGAGCTACCAATATAGTGCGACCTTTCTGACGGAATCAGTCGTCGGGGTGGTTCGCCAAACGGAGGGCAGATCACTGGAGATACAGACATTCAATCTGGTGGACCCGACCATCTCAACCGTTGTCGTGACGGATTGTGTAAGTGTTCCAACGCAATGCCTGGTTCTTTGTACTGATTCGCGCCAAGCCAGCTGTAGAGATTATGGGCTCAGTGGTGTTCGACAGGACGATCTATCTCGTTGTGCTAGTAGGCACGAATGCATTCGTCTATGCCTGTCCCGAAAAGCTGCTTGCCATCGGATCACCCTCTGCAGACATAGACTACACCATCCGGCGCAGCCACGTCGCGCGCGTCGCTTTGTCCTTTCCGACCGATATCACGCGCGTCTGCTTCCCACGCTCCGTTCTGTCCTCAGAACCCCGCTCCGGCCGAAGTTTCATCTCCGTAACAGATGTACACGCCCGCCGAGGGGCGACGACGGATCGTTCTCTCGAGGTCACGTTTTGGCGACGCCCTTGGTCCGAAAGCGACGACGAAAGCGCGCAGCACAGACTTGTGTTGCCTGTGAAGACCGTGGTCGTGGAGGGGAAGCTGACGGAGCACCCGGCCAGTCACGCCGAGCCGCTGATCATCGCCAATTCGGGTCTCACAGTCCTCCTGCTCGTCGAGGTTCCTGAAGCGGACTCGCCCAAGATGCTTCTGATACGCTACGATCCCGCCGAAAAGACGGCCTCCACGCACGAGCTGAGATTCGACGCCAGCGAGTCCGGATTGGATTTGAAGGCAGTTCGCGGAATCACTTTGGATGATCACATCGGTGTGGTCATGGCTGTCACAGAAGACAAACGCCTGCATGTCATTCCTTACGCATAGTCTCCACAGGCAGTTGGTTTTATGCTTTATAAAGGGAGTGCATCAAACGTCTGGACGTGTAAGGTTTTATACATTCCTTTCTCGGGCTGGATAACGAGAGTCCCTCGATGCGGCCCTGGCGTGATATCCGGCAGCGTGGCTTGCGCGTGAGATTCGACTCGAGTAAAACGTGGTTATAACAACAGTGGTTTTCTCTCGTCGCTCGCTACTCCATGTCTCTGCAGCTCAAGCGCGGGTTTCTCAAAACGGGCCCAAAGGAAAAGGCTCATGGCAAGTCGCATCTTACACTTCTTGCCGACGCTGAGTCTGTTGTTAGAGGATACGGGATCGCTCCATTGCTTCTCTCCGTACTGCTCACTTTATTCGAGCGTTCCGCGGATCGTCAACACGGATTGTCGAGTGGCCTCCCCCGACTCTTCGCACTTTCTCTTCCTGCCTCCAGATGATTCCGAGCTCGTTTTCATCGATACACTAGACAACCTCAAGACCGTTGCCAAGTGGAAGTTGTGGCAGAATGCCGGACCTCGTACATCGACCGAAGTGTTCGCTATCCGGACTAGCGGAGACAAAGGCCTCGGAATGTTTGCGACGCAGTCCATTACGCGTGGTACGGTGATCTGCGAGGAACGTCCCAGGTTGGTCACCCATCCCGCCGTTTTGGTCTCATCCGACCAGGCACGGGCATTCTACCGCTCTGCCCTCGCTGGCCTCTGCTCGACGGCGCAGAACGAAATTGCCACACTGCGCAACGCGCATCTGGAGCTGGAACACGTCCGGGGTATCGTATGCACCAACGCGCTGGCCGCGAAAGTGCCCTACGCCGAAGTGCGCTATCCAGCGCTCTATCCTCGGCTGTGCCGGGCCAACCACGATTGCACGCCCAACGCCCACTACTTTTTCTGTTCCGAAACGTTCACCGGCCGATTTGTGGCGCTGCGCACCATCTCTGCGGGGGAGGAAATCACCATCGGGTATACCGAGCTGGCCGCCAGCCGGAAAGAGCGGCAAGCGAGGCTGCTGGAGAAGTACCGCTTCCAGTGCACTTGTGCCACGTGCTCTGCAGCTTCTGCACAAAGCGACGATAAACGCAGTGCGATTGCGCAGTACTTCGAAGGAATGCGGGGTCGATCGAAGCCTGAGGAGATGGCCCGGTTGAAAGAATTGATCCAGTGGGCGGAGGACGAAGGATTGGACGAGGCCGCCTCTGTCCTGATGGTCTCGTCTCTGAAGCTCATTCGACGAAACCACGATCCCGTCGAGAAAGCCAAGATCATGGTCAAGGCGATGGACTACATCCGGGTCTTGGAGGGGAACGACTCGGCCGGTTTCAAAGTCTTTGCCTCGCGCATGGAGATGACCACGCAGGATCTCTCCGCTATGCTGGATCGTGGTCTGGATAATTTCGACTACACGTTGTTCCCTGCAATCGCTACCATGGGATAGACATGTCAGCTTCCTCAGTGTCGTTTTCTGATCGTTTCCCGAGTACTGTTTTTGAGTGGTAAGTAGACATTGATGAAACTGTTCGGTCATGCACATACAAGCTCGCTGTTTCGCCCGCCATCCCCACTGTTTGAACGACTTGGGATTCTCCAGCCATCTTGAGAACTTCTGAGCACGCTCAGGGTCTTGACCAGCACAAAGCACCACGACTTTGCGAGCCCAGATGCGAAAGTTGCTCTCGTCGTCGAGCAGAGCGTAGGACATGGCAATCTCTTCTATGAAGGGAACTTGCATTCCATGCAGCCCTTCCTGCTCGATCAGCTCGAGCGCCCGCAAGTTCGAGACGATCACAACGTCGTCCTCGCGGCACATGTCCGTCGACCAGGGAAGATAGCGCGGGTGAAGAGATCGCCAGTCGCGCAGTTCCGCCCGGGCCGCGTCGCTGCGAGATACGGCCGCTTCATCGGGGAGATTGCAGTGCCGGCACGTGCACTCAAAGCCATACCGCGCAAGCTGGGCTCGGCGGACCTCCCTTGGTGCGAGGACATCGATGTACTGGTTGAAGATCTCCTCCCCGGCCCGGACGTCGCGCAGGGCGTACATAGACACGGAGAACGACTGCAGATCCCATTTCACGGCGGTGTTGAGCCCGCAGGCATGGTTGGCGCGGCTGATGTTGGGGAAGGCCCCGCCGTACTCCTGTGGCGAGGCATCCGGCGGGACGGGCAACGTGATTCCGAACGCGTTCGTCAACGCGATGCCTTCCACCACAGGATGCTCCGACACGGGTTTACAATTGGCCAGATCCAGTAACAGGGCCCGAGACTTGAGAGATATCCTCGGAATCAGTGCATCGAACGCCTCTCGCTTCCACGGTGCTGATACCTCCGACGGGACGACTGCGATCGGTCTGTCACAGAGGATGAGCGACCCAGCCGGGATATCCCGCGCTGCAAACATCCCTGCACCCTTGAACCCCGCATCAGCAACATAGAATGTGGGAGGAGTCGGAGTCGGTTGTGGTGGGAGGAAGTTGGGTGGGAGCAATGCGACTATAGGCGCGTCGAGAAGCATCGCACAGGCCGTCAAGTTGGGGGGTTTGTAATCTTCCTCGTCGCCATCCGATATCAGAGCGTTGTAAAGGACGAAATTTTTGGAGCCGACCGTCCAGCGAGCCCTGGATTCGTTGTCCTCCATGATGCGACTGCAAGTCCGGTCGATAGCTACGATGATAAAAATGAAGGACGCTGATCCCATCAAGCAATGATTGAGGATCCACAGCCACCTTGCAATGACAGGTTTACTTGACACGTGTGCATTTGACACGAGAGTTGAGCAAGATCATGGAACTTGGCATAGGAGCGCCAAAGTGAGAAAGAAAATATTCTAAAATATAGGAGGCTCTCATTCAGGCAGCGGGGATCTAAAACCTCCCTGCCCGCGACTTTCACACTCTTCCATTGGCTTGATTTCAGCCAACGTTTGCCAGAAGCGATCGGCTATCAATGCTTCACCGCCACCGCCGCCTCTCCTCTCCTGAAAATTACCTCCGTGGTGGCCTTCCTCGATAGCCTGAGAGCTCTCGTCGACATTCGTCTACTATCGCGTCACCCAATACTATGTCTGATTCATAAGATCTCATTTGCCTTTCTTTGAATGCTGGCGAGGACTGCGCGTTCAAGGAAATATGTCCCCCCGACTCAGTTTTATGAACCAGATCTTTCTCCGCGAGACAACTTTCAGAACATATAAATTCTCTATCCGCTCTCTCAACCCTTTCTCTATCTTCTGTTCCACTACCACTACCTCCTTTCCTCTGCATCCGTCTCGCCTTGATCTAAACATTCTCTTCTACCGACGATGCGAAGCTCATCTGCAGCAACTGTCGTCCTCGTTCTCACTGCCGTGCGGCACACGTCCGCCGGCGCCATAGAAGGGCTGGTCACACGCAACGATAACTCGTACAAGACCGAGAACTGTTTCTGTCCTTCTGGTCCATTCGTCGTCAATAACAAGCCTTGTGGCTCCTTCCAGCGATCTGGTACTTGCCCTCTCCTCCCCATACATCTCGTTTTTCTCATCTACCGCCTATCAGACAATTCTTGCTTTTGTGAGAGTGAAATCCCGGATGTCGTCGCTTCCAGCGACCATCCTACGATCACAACCGCCAAAGACAACGGCTTCGACTGGGATTCCATTTCATCGGCACTAGGAAACATGGTCAGCATCCTCAGCTCTCCCTGTTGTCCGGCATCTGTCTCACTCTTTCTTCAACCCAGTGGGACCGCTCCTCGGACGACGACAAGAAGACGTGCACCCGGCCTGCCAATGCCGTGCCTGCCTGTTCGCGAGACAACATCTGCGGGTACACTTGCCCGTCCGGCCTCAAAGACTGCGGGACGACCTGCGCGATGTCTTGCCCTAGTGGCACCAGCCACAAGAAGCGGAGCCTCAACGGAAACGCACCCGATTACTGGGGAAGCGAGATGCAGAGATCGTGCCCGGAAGGATGGAAGGCGTGCGGTATCGCTGGCGGTGGGAAACGTGCTTGGGAATGCGTTGATGTGAAGAGAGACTTGGAGAGCTGTACGTTCAGTCTCTCCGCTGCGACATGTTCTTTTTAGCTCATCGTTCTGCAGGCGGCGGCTGCCCTTTCGGAATCACCTCCTCTTTGTCTGGCGAATCTACCGGAAAGGACTGCACCGGGTTGCGGGACGTTTCCGATGTTGCTTGCATCAACGGTCGCTGCGTCGTTCAACGCTGCTTGCCCGGCCACAAGCTCTCGTCGACCGGTCACTATTGCGTGGAGGACAAGGGCAGTGTGAGCAGCGGTGAGATCACCGTCCTCACCGGCACGGGCTCGCTCCCGCAGCCGTTCTCGGTGCATCGCGTCGGTCTGTACCATCCGTCATCGCCCCAGTGATTCTTTCTTTCCCCCGATCGTTTTGGGCTTGAGGATTTCGTGTTGTTCCGCGCTGTGTCCTTATAAATGCAATCTGTCTGTTTTGGATCCGCCTCTCTGCTACCGGTAGAATTTTCGAGTGCAATGCAATTGTCTGTCCGATTGTTACCATACGCGAGACGACAGAACGAACAGCTACGGTCTCGAGTAGAGCAACATGGCGGCTACAGTCGTTGTCTCGAGAAGCCCTGCGCGAAGCGCATCCGCCGAGATCTCCATGACCAAGTTGTCTCCGCCTCTCTCCACTCTGGCGAGAAGCTGAGGTATATCCGACCGCTGATGCTCATTCCATACATACATCTGTGTGTGCATTTATCAATCCGTCGTTGAACACAATATCGAAACACTTGCGCAATAAACGTCGCTCTGAAGAACCCAAGCATACTGTCCCCCATAGACGGTCATGGCCCGATAACTCGAATCCATGGCATCAGCAATATGGATGGATGTATAACAGGGAGACATCGGCGCACCTGCCGTCGGGGGACCGGTTGAGCCACCCATCGACCCGTTGCCTGCTGACCGGCTCTCTCGAGCCCGGGTGCATTGCAGGGATGTGGACCACGGGACCAGATGTTTGCGCCCATTCGATCGAAGCGACAGTCACGCCTCGATTGGTGCGGAACAGCGTCATGCTCGGGCTTTGTGCATATCCGAGCTGGCTGTACTGCGAGACGATGTGGAAGTAGGGCGTGCAGCCGTCCGCGCCGACCACGGTGCAGTTGAGGAACGACAAAGAGGCGAGGGTGCCGGGAATCCGCCGCGGAATGAATGTCAGGACGAGCGTGGATGACTGACTGGGAGTGGAGGCAGTGGTATACGACATGCTGACAGTTTGAGTGCGAAATCTCTGCTTCTCCAGGAGCAGACAGAGACGAAGACACTTATAAGAACGCTCGCAAAAAGCCCAGATCGTTTCAGAACAGACGATGCGGAGCCCTGAGCCCTCCTGGAACGAAAATACCAACCTGGGCTGGACTGACACTCGCTTCATGCAAACAGAGATCCGCAGTGACTCTTTCAGCACCGCCAGTAGTTGTTCAACATCGCTAAGCTCAGGATGCATCATCCGCAGACCCCAAGCTCCAATCCGTGAACTCGGACAGCACCGCCCGAGGGACGAGGCTGCATTCAGAACGTCAACACAGCGAGGGTGTCCTGTGCACACCAAGATTGAGGTGTCCGCGGAGGTCCACTGTAGTCTGAGTCGGAGTTTTCTCGTTTCGGGTGATTCCGAGCACCGGCAGGGTCTCGTGCAAGTCGATAATGTCCGCAATTGGCCTTGACGAAGTGCATCAACGATTAGGCTGCACGCAACACAGCTACTGATCAAGTAACGTAGCGGACTGAAACACGGAAGCGTAACAGGATTCAGCAGCGCAGTCCTTCCGTGGCCATCCATCCCCGATGCACTCCAGGAACCCCGCCCATCATACAGCCTACATCAGCTGGGGTTCGAAGATGACGACTGTGCGGAAGTAAAAGGCCGTCGATGCAGTGCGATTGACATAGCGAAGCAAGGCTGCCCAAGTCACATGCGGCGTTTCAGAGGCGCAGAAATCGACATAGGTTTGGCCAGCAGTCCGCAGCCAGCGTCATTCCAGTCAAACTTGGCCGTCAGGGCGCAAGGGATGATATTGTGTGTTGTTTTGGAAAGCGATGCCGAGGCGATGTCGGAGACAATTCGAGTACACATCTCTCTTTCGGTCCAAATATACACCCATCCAGTTGGCGAATGTCTAGTGACTCGCACGTCTATTGGTCCCATTGGGCCAAGGAGAGGTTTGGCGGTGATGGCAATAAACGCACCTGGAGGGAGATGATAGAATCAAAGATCTGTGATTCCACAGCCACCATGGGCTTCTGACCGGTCAGACTGTCATTTGAACGGCGCTGTTGTCTTCTTCATACAATGACTTCAACCACGCATTGCCTGAGGAACCCAGCACATGGCCGAGGAAGGGACATAGACCGCTTCTTGTCGCTAGATACCGCTGGGGGAGATCCATCTTGGCAGATTCATTACACTGGACAGATCGACAGGTTTGACATGTGTCCAGAGATTCTCCAGTCTCCAGCCGATTCGGCGCACGAAGCCTATTAGCCTTTGACTCTTTCCTCCACGACCTAAGCACGACAAGACATGTCTACGTCTACATCTACATACTACGGGCCCACAAACGAGACGTCGTCGGATATCAACTATGAGCGCAATTTCGTATGTGGGATTTGATCTTCAGAAACGATTGGTGTACTTATCGACTGGTGGGTGCAGGTTGCAGGCGATGTGATCGTCGGGACTGGCTATGGGGCGCAGCTTGTTCTCTTTGCCAACTGTGCTCTTTTCCTGTGGAAACGCAGGAGGAACCGCCAATCGATGTATCTTCTGGCCTACATGTCTCTGATGCTCCTCATCGAGTCGCTGTTCGTGGCGGTTCAAGCGAGGACTGTGCAAATGATCTACATCGACAACCGGAACTATCCTGGTCTGTGATACAGGCTCTGTCGCTTGTTCTTCCAGGCTCATGGTCTCGCGCAGGTGGTCCATGGAAGTTCTTTTTGATTTCACAGACCGCGGTGGTCAATGTGATGTTTTATGCTACGCTCTTTCTGCTCACGTTCCTTTCTGATCTTCTCGTCGTGCGTTCCTGTTGTCGTTTGTTTGCAAAACCCATTGTAATCCTCTTTAGTTGTGGCGTTGCTGGGTCATCTGGTGTGCATCCGGACGACGAGTCGTGGCTTGGATTGCAATTTCACTGCCTGTGCTATTACTGTTCGCTTCTTTCGGTAAATGCTCGGTGTTCTCCTCTACATGCTTGGCTGATCCATTCTCAGTCATGGGCACCCTCTGGACTCTAGAATCATCACAACCCAATCTGTCGCTCTACAGCAAGCTCCCCATGAGCTACGGAACATCCTACTATGCCATCTCCCTCGGCGTGAATATCATTCTCACCGCTCTCATCAGCGGCCGGCTGGTGAGCTACCGTCGAACGCTGGCAGCAAATCTTTCGCCCGAACTCGCCGGGCATTACATCTCGCTTGCGACCATCATCATCGAGTCTGCTGCTCTCTACTCTGTATTTGCCATCCTCTTCTTGATCACCTATGCGATCAACAATCCGACAAACCAAATCTGGCTTGGCGTTGCGTCCAGCTGCCAGGTGATTGTTCAGCAGATCCCATCCACTGCGGTCGTTTCTGACTGATGTGCAGCAAATCGGGAACCAGCTGATCATATTCCGCGTCGCGGATGGGAGTGCCTGGCAGCGTGATACGTTGACCAATACAGCTCCCATCCACTTCAAGTCAGGAACCGGCCAGCATGTTTCAACCAATATCGGCAGCTTCCATATCGCGGCTCCGGCAGATCCCGAGCTTGCACTGAAAGACCGCACGAACGTCTAGCCTTGTGCATCTACCATCTCTTGTCAATTATCTACTTATTGTACTCATCGTCCATGGACACCCGTTCGTTAAAGAACCCCGGCACTCGTTCCGCGCTCAAAGAATGAAGCGTTGTTGTCCGTAAGCTTGTACTGCAGAGCCGAGTTTCTGGATAGGAGTTTCACACCGAGCGAAGATGTCCCAGGTCCAGCGTGTAGAGCCACCTTTCCTCGGTCATTATCATACGAAAAGAGTCGGACCCGAGGAGAACGCACTTGTCCGCTCACAGAGCCGCTCTTCCCACTAGACAGTGGCAGAACCTCTAAATGGTAACTGCAAAGCTGGAACATGGACCGAAAGAGATCGTCCAACAGTGGTTCTGGCCCGGATGGGGTAAGGACATGCTGGCGGACGATCAGGGTCGCATTGATCTACGTTCGAGCTTGAGTGAGGTCTTTCGGGGAAAGTGCATGTCCTAACCTTGCGGCAGGCCGCATAAAGCGCGCGGACGAAGCGGGTGATATCGAGCACGGTGAATCCCAGCCAATCAAGCGTGGCCAGATCGTCGACGATGACCAGTAGATCCGAGCCACCAACAAACCCCATGGAGGTCAGAACAGAGTTGAGGATAGGCAGAAGTGGTGGTGGCTGGCCAGTGGGAAGCACTTCGCTATCTGGCGGTCGGACTGAGAAAGCACATCAATGACGACTAGCGAGCCTGAAGCTATCTGCTGGTCCAAATTCAAGTTCTAAATCGCGTCAAACGCATCCAGATCTGGCACCATATGATCGGGACGTACGGATTTGGCCGCAATAGCCTTCCATCGCGCAATATCCTCCGATACGGAGAGCAGTATAGCTTTCTTCGGCTGCGCAGTGGTGACTCCTTTCAGATGCTCCAAGAATGTGCGATACACAAAGAAATCCGCAGGAGAGGAGAGTTGATCGGTTACGAGCAATAGAATTCCAATAGGCAGGTCGAAAGGCGAGAACATGGATGCCAAATTGAAAAAGACCAGAAGCTGTGCACGTGACTTGCCTGAATCTGCTTCATTGAGTTGTGAACATATAATACACCTACTTACTACAATCCGTCTATTATTCATCTTCATCGTCTTCGTAGCTATCATACTCGAAGCACTCCATGTTCCCGTCACCTTCAGCGCAATCACCATCGTAGCAAGGTCTCCAACCAGTTGAGGAACATCGATCTCGATCAAGCCCGATCTTGCCGCGGACCAAATCAAAGTGCAGGTCGCTCGCAGAGACCGATGAGAACGTCCAAGTAGAGTTATCGCCACAATTTTCCGCGAGGTTTCGTGTCGACCAATGGAGACACATCCTTTGCACAAGACGTTATCGAGTCGAAAGCGGATCCGATGCGGACGGGAAGAACGCGACGGTACGATTGAAATCGACGGCGCGCCGGAATTTTGCACAGAAAGTGCTTCGACTGTGACAGCAATAGATGTATGGTCCTCACAGCATCGCAGTAGCCACGGTAGGAAGAAAGATGGCACTGAGAATAAGCCGAAGACAGGATGAAGTCGGACGGACTGTCCCTGAGCTTTGAAGAATAGACCGTTTCGCCGTTGCTGGGATGATCAAAATTCATGGACATCGAGTCGGGTTAGAACGTAGTGTCGCCCTGTAAATACCGTTAGGTGTCAGAAGCAATAGAAACACCGCTACTCACAACCAAACCGAAATGCGTCCTAGATGGGAGCCCTTCGTCAGAACAAGTTCCACAGGCGCATCCTAATCTACGCTTCAGGAAGTAGTGGCGAAATGCCGCGTCCACGTCTTGATCTGGGACTTGCTTGAGCGGGTACTCGATCTCAAGCTCGGGCTAACAGCAGCCATCCCACGTCCTCGAAAGCTTCCCTCAGAAACTGGCGCGCAAAACTCATGCCCTGCGCAATCAAGTCCAAATAATCCGTGCCCTCCGAGTTGGAGACGTTTGCAATGTCAATGCGCACATCCAGTGGAATGAGTTTCCCCACAGCGTCTAGATTCTTGACAGATAATCCAATCACACTCCGCGTCATTCCGCTTGCGTCCAAAGCATGAAAAGATTTGAGGTCTTGACAGAAGTGCGCTCGAATGATTCCGCGATCATTGAACATGGACCCCCGCTCTTGACGATGTCAAAGTGCAGACATAAACGATTGCAAATCAGATTCGTACAGGCCGCCGAATGCGTCAAGGAAGTCCACCTTACCGACGGTCACATCCGCAACGATAGCATTATGAGGAGAGGAGTGCTCGGATTTCGGCGATAATGCGAGATGCCAAGTGCAGGGAAATGAGCGGAAGTGATTCTGCGATACTAGATAGGGAGACGATAGTTCGAAGCCTCTCGGGGTTCTCATAATCAGGTTTGGTTTTGGTTTGAAGTTCGAGCGTACTGAGCTCCATCTGCGTGTACATGGTGGTGTAGCGAGGAACAAGAGTTTGGGTTAGCGAGCGAATGCATAGCCGGGATGTCCGACTTTGGACGCTATAGTCTGTGACCTGCGCGTGACAGCTCTGAGATTCATTTCTTTCACGTGGTATGTGGATGACCGTGACTGGAAGTCGACGGAACTTTCTGTTGGTTCAGATTTCGGATCTCCGAATTACGACCTTCTCAGCCTGTTCTACTCTCCAATTATGAAAGTCTTTTCATTTTATCGGCCGAATGTGATAAAATCCTACACTCGCAGGCTCCGCCGGTTATCTGCATTCCCAATGACATTCGACTAATTTTGAGAGTTGAGTAGGTACACTACAAATATACAAGGGTAACATATACAGAAAATTCTTACGGAAAGTCTACACGTGCAGTTTGAGGAAGCTGTTGTTGGTGGATATGCGCACGGAGCCTAACGGCTTCTTAGCACCTCCAAGGATCGGCATCTTCCACCTAACCTCGCCTTTGACGAAACCTAATCTCTTGAGGTCGCTCTGCCAATCGACAGTACGCAATTTCCTGATGTCGACGTAGGGCAGTTGGTCCACCAGGACGACGTTGGAGAACAGCGTAAAGTCGCCCTCGAAGGCCTCGTTGAGCCAAACGCTGGCAGGCGAGTTTTTGGTCTCCGCGTCGAGATGCAGGATGGATCGAGCCGGAGCCGATGGGAAGGTCATGGTCATTGGTGCATTCGTAGTCGTTGCCGAGATGTTGAAGCGGCCGCCCTGCCCGTTGGCCGCAGTGGTAAACAGACTAATCGGTGCGTCTATCTCTCTGTAGATCGGTGATCAGTGTTTGCTTGTTTGCTGGCTTCGCAGAATGAGAACACACGCATTGCAGGTTTCGATCCTGAGATGCGTCGTCTTGAATATGTTGCGATGGTGAAGTTTGATCGAGCTGAGGACAGGAGCATTGGTTGTCGACAAGATCAGGGACGACGAGGTTTCAAATGAGCCTGATATCTTGGCGTTGGCGTTCATGACCGTTGCGTTGTTTGCAAAAACAGACTGTTCAGAATATTCAACGTCCATATTAGATCTCTGCAGCGGACTTGGTACCTTGGCATATATCGGTTTGCCCCGTCCTTCTATTTTGAGTTGATCAAACCGCACAACATCTCGGAGGGCGTCAAATGACTGCGAAAACTGAGGAAGATTGGTTTCAAGGTTGTAGACCGGAGAGTTCGAGCCGGGATCGGACGAAGTGGGAAGGAACAAAGTGATTGTAAAGTCCAGAGCGTCTGTGGCGCTCTGGCCATCAAACGCATGAGGTGTCTAAGAGAGAAATGAGATACGTTCGTGGATTCTTCCAGCTCAAGATGCTTACAAAAATACCCAACCCTACACTGCCCGTCTTCTTCTGCTCCATCTGACAAACGGCCGATCTATCGAGAACACGGGCCGAACAATATCGCGCTTGTATATCAACTCGCGGGAACGCATGCGGGGATGTTGTCACGACCTGCAAGTGGCCGCCAAGTTGGGCTCCTTGAGCAATTAGAAACATCGCAGAAGACGCGTCGGGGAAGGTAAACGACGCGTGAGAGGTGGTATTGAAGGGGGAATCGTCATCGGGCGAAATGAAAGTCGCGTTAGACCACGTGGCCGACGCAACACATTTGCCTGAGCGAGGATCTGGTTTTGCCACGGGAATCACGGGCAGGATGGGCGGTATCTTCTTTCCGTTCAAGACTATTCGAGACCATGAAGTGTGTAATTAGACTTACTGTAATATCGGTGTCTCCGTGCTTGTCTCTGCCCATCCGCTCCGTGGTCCGTTCTCGTCGGGTGATACGGAGGAGGAGCAGGAAGAACAAGCAGTTGAGCGCTATGGACGCGAAAGCTAGTCTTCTACGAGTCTTGTGCAATCTAGCCCATCGTTGCTTCTGTCTCCGTGGGGGTGAAGTGACGACAGGCGGCAAAACCGCCTGATAAGATACGTAGGGTGGCGGAAGAAGTTGCTGGAGAGGACCGACACCGGCTTCTGTCTGATTGAAAGCGGTGCTGGAGACCTCCGTCGGGCTCTTGACCGAGGAAGATGGCTCTTCTGACTCGTCGATGATCATGAAACCTGTAGGCAGAAGAGGAGAGCGCCGCGGCTACTGAATGATCCCAGTCCATAGTTTTGTGTAGACCTCGGCAGCTCGGATCGTTCCTTATCAGCTTCGTACATTGCATTACGTTACATCGATCGATGAATTGATTATCTTATCTTATCTCAAGTTCGGTTGCCAGTCGACCCGTAACTCGGCCGAGACGGCCGATTCGAAATCTTTGCCGAAGTCGCCACTTCATTTCCCTTCATTTCGTCAGGGTTGACGCTGCCGACAGCGAAACTTGCAGGATTTGCCTGTGCCTGGCCCAGCCATGGATGAGTCGTCTGTTCCGGGTATCTTCTCATCTTTGTGCCGGTACCGGCATCTCCGCATCGGAACACCATGCAAAAAACACACTCCTCTGCGCTTTCTACAGCAGACCGTACCGACCGTACATTTGTTGGGAGGCTATTTGCACCCACAGGCTGCCAATTGAAGTCGGTGCGGGACACAAATGGTGACTTCCGGTGCAGCGGCGATACCGTTCACGTAAATCCACCAGCGCAGCAGTCCAGCTAGTCTCTCGGAGTCCCGTCAGATTCCGCGACTATTTCGTGACTGGAGTTGGCGTGGAACCCCTATACCCCGCATTCGATCCGCTTGCCTTCATATTCACATGCCACACGTATAAAACCCTGTTACGTTGCATGACCGTCGCCATTTGTACCCCTTTTCCTGGCTCTGCTTCCTCCACCAAGCTGGACGCCTCTATCACCACGCCATGTCGAGGTCGGATTCCAAGAAACCGGTAGGATTTGCGACGCACATCGCGGCAGGGGGCATTGCTGGAGGCTGCGAAGCGGTGAGTCCCGCAAGCTTAGCGGCGGCTTCGTCCCTTACGCGTTCTTTGTCGTCGCAGCTCGCCTGCCAGCCGCTCGATACGATCAAGGTCCGCATGCAGCTCTCCAGGTCTGGTCGAGCCCCGGGGGTGTGTGCTCTCCCTCGTTGGCACGTGAAATCTACTGACCGGCGGCACCGTTACAGACCAAAGCGCGCGGTTTTCTGGCCACAGGCGCGATGATCGTTCAACGTGAAACGCCACTAGCTCTGTACAAGGGTCTGGGCGCGGTGCTCTCGGGTATCGTGCCCAAAATGGCGATACGATTCGCGTCGTTCGAGTCCTACAAATCCTTCCTTGCCGATCGCACGACGGGCAAGACGTCCACCGCAGGGATCTTTCTTGCTGGACTGGGGGCGGGGACGACTGAGGCCATCGCCGTCGTAACACCCATGGAAGTGGTCAAGATCCGGCTGCAGGCTCAGATGCATTCACTGGCGGACCCACTAGAGACGCCAAGATACCGCAACGCAGGACATGCTGTGTATACGATCATTCGAGAAGAGGGTGTTGCCACGCTCTATCGAGGCGTTTCGTTGACAGCTCTGCGGCAGGCGACGAACCAAGGTGCGCTATCTCCCTCGGTGATCCTGATCTAAGCTTAACGCCGACTTTGCAGGCGCCAATTTTACGGCGTACCAAGAGCTGAAGAAACTGGCCCATCGGATGCAGCCCGAGCTTGTTGAGCTGCCGTCGTACCAGCACATGCTGATTGGCCTCATCTCGGGAGCCATGGGCCCGTTTTCGAATGCACCCATAGACACTATCAAGACGCGTCAGTGCTGCTGCTTTCTCTGGAGGTGGCCCGCGAGTTCTGACCGCATTTGGTGATTAGGACTGCAACGTGCCCCGGCCACGCCGGATGTATCAGCGCTGGGGCGGATCACTGCCATCGCAGGAGAGATGTGGAAGCAAGAAGGATTCAAGTCATTCTACAAAGGCATTACACCCCGCGTGCTGCGCGTTGCGCCCGGTCAGGCGATTGTGTTTGCCGTCTACGAGCGCATCAGCAAAGTGATAGAGCGGATGACTCCGGTGCAGGACCACGGCTGGGAAGAGTAGGTAAGTGGGTACACATTACATAATACACTGTAACTGGTCGTGATTGAAACATGGATCTACGTGGAAATGCTATACTACTGGCTACCTACTGTATACTACTGACTACTAATGCTACGTAAAAATGGGGGGCGTGGATGAGATGGCTGGTAAGATATATGGGGGAGGACAGAACAAGGAAGACTACAGCTACGAAAATGATCCAGATGCAAGGGACGGAAGTATTCGCGAACGAGGCATAACACAGAGACAATGATGGACTGATAGTACAGGGATTGGGGGGAGACACTTTAGACACCGTATCGAGCAGCGAGTCGCTCCTGGATGGGCTGTGGGAAAAGCGT